AAGCTTAATTTTTTTTTAAATGAACAAATCCTCTTCTGGCAGTTTAGCTATGGAAAATAAATAATATTAGCTGTGTGTTAACTGCGTAAGCCAGTCTGTGACTAAGACTGAACAATAATTAGACATATTCTCCTTCTCATCTTGGTATATCCAAGCAGAAAACATTTGACTGACTTTAAAAAGCTGGAGTGGGTAATGAATAAGAACAGTATATGAGAATTATTTGAGTTTCATTTATGACTAATTTAAGAACCATGTGTTCTTATTCTTCATATGATTATATTTTAAATTCTTACAATCTGTTCCTGTAGGATGGTGCTTAACTAAGGGCAATTTTGTGTAACAAATAGTCTGGTTAGGTATTTTTTGTGGTTTCTGAAGCATCTCTTTGCAGTGTTTTTTGAGTATATTAATGTCTTAGGGAAAAGTATGAAGAGAATATGAAAATTCTTTTAATTTTATCCTGCCGTGGGTGTTACATTTCTTTTTTTCTCAATAGAGACAGATGTCACTGTGCTTTCCAAAAGACAGAGATGTCCAACTGATAAATGTAGGCTTTATTGCATGGCTATTTTTATAATGTCAAGATGAGATTTTATTGGTATATAAGTGAAAGGAATACCTATTGCCAAGGTATTAAATATACAATGCAGAATTTTAATAGACTTGACAATATTGAGAATTAGAGTAGTTATCCTGGACCCCAGGCTTTTTCCAGGAGAAAAAAATAACTGGAGGGTAGGAAACAGGTATAGGTCTATAGAGGGAGAGACTATTAAAAAAAGAGAGAGGAACTATTAAGTAGATAACTTTTTTTAAATGTTAAGTATTATTTTACTTAACTTTATTTATTTTAATTTGACCAGAGAGGGATAGAGAGAGAAAGAGAGAGGGAGGGAGAGTGAGACAGCAAGCTGCCAGGTCTGGGACTCAAACTGTGGTCGACCATGTGAGAATCTAACACCCTTAATCACCATGCCACCTGCTGACCCCAGTAAATAAAAACCTAAAAACACCTAGTGCTCATAGGGAAGCAGGTTTTTGGTTTGGTTTTGTTTCCTTTTTACCTTGATAAAGTGTGTGCACATGCACATAAGAATGAAAAATAAAGAGAGAGGAGCACTTTCCACAGGGTCTGGTCACAATGTGATCCCTTTCCTGCAGTCTTCCAGCCTTCTGGCATGGTGATTAAAGTGCCAGATTCCCACGTGGCTGACCATGGTTTGAGCCCCAGACCTAGCATCTTGAAAATCACTCCAGGCACATGTGCATGTGTGCCCCAAATCCCAAGAGGTGATTTCTCACTCTCCCCCCTCTCCAGTGAGTGCATGTGTCCTGTAAAAACCTTTAAAAAAAAATCCCTAATGTTCTGAAATTTCATAGGGACATGTCTCATGTGGTCCATTTATTCTTCATTGATTTGGATTTGTGTAAGCCCTTTTAATCTTAATTATTTCCTTCAATCCAGGGGTTTTTTTTTTTGTTGTTATATTTATGTGTGTATGTGTGTATGTTGAGAGAGAGATTTTTAGGGTGTGTGTACTCACCAGAGAGACAGAAAGCGAGAAATCACCCCCCAGGGGAAATGGCCACGCCTCAATTCCTTCTCCTTCATTCTTCTCTCAGGATTTTGGGTGCGCACACACATGTACCCAGCATGAGTTTCAAACCACTGGGTCTGGGTCTTGAACCACAGTCAACAATGTGGGAGTCCAGCACCACCACCACTATACCACCTGCTGGCCTGGGAATTTTTTCCTTTTTAAATTTCTTTCTACAATTTTCTCTATTCTTTTTTTTCTGAAATATGTATTATTTGGGTATTGGCCCTCCTGACCTGATCCTCTTATTTCACTTGTTCTTTTTCATTCCATTTTCTGTCTTTCAGCTCTACTTTTCGGGATTTAACTTTCTTTTTCAACTGTTATAGTAGCTTTTTTTATTTCTGCTATCATGTCTGTAAATTTCCATAAACTTTCTTATTCACTGACTGCTACTTTTTTATAGCATCATCTTCTTATTTCATGAGTGCAATCTTACTCATTTTAGTTATTTTGAAGCTTTATTCTCCTTTCATTATCTCTGATTCTTCTGAGTACCTTTTTATATTTATTAACTTGTTCTTTTTCAAGTTATTAGTTTGTCTTTTGTCTAGTGATCTTTGAATTCATTTTCAGGAATGAGGCATAAAGAGCTCATTGGAGCATTCTCTGGAAAACCGGGGCTTGGCAGCTCATTGGAATGCTCTCTGGATAACTGGCATTTGGCGCATCCTTAGGTGTGAGATTGATGATTGTAACTAGTTCGTCAGAGTCCCTATTTTACCTGTAGTTGTTTTCTTTTAGGCTGATTAGATTTTCCATGATAGCCTTCTATCTTTACTCTAGGTAGCATAAGCCTAAATGCCAGTATTTCCAGGACTGAGTAGAGAAGGTAACTGAGGTTTTTGTTGTAACATGGCAGCTTTTACTTATTTCACTGTTTTCAGTAACCTTCCTCATCCTCCCCAGCATCCTCAAATCTAAAGTCCCTCTGGTTCACCCAGAGAGACTCAGCCTATCCTACCAGCACTGGGCGAGGTAATGGTCTAACTATATCCAGGAATCTAGAAGTCCTTAAGTCCCAGCTTTTGTCTAGTGCTCCCACTCAACCCCCGCCCCCCCCTTCTGTCTTCAGTGGCTGATAGTGTGTTTAATTCCTGACCTGTCTGAGGTTCTACAGAGCAATATGCCTTGCTTTTTGGCTTCTCTGCCACATAGGTGGCTTTCAGTTTTCACTGGTCACATCAATATACTTTGCAACTTCTAAAATATTTTGAATTTCTACTTTACCATTGTCTCCTCTTCATTTCATTTTGTCCTTGTAGCTGTTTTGCTTTTTGTTTTTTCCTCTATCCAGTCCCTTTTCTCTCATTTTGGTGGAAGTCTAGAAGATATTGATGGCAAACTACTATGTTTCATTTGTCTCATTCAACCAAAAGTCTATATGATCTTTTTTCTTTTTTTTTTTTGCCTTTATTCATGATGGTGTGTGTGCATCCACATGTGGGAGAGAGAAAGGGAGAGAGAGATGAGCATCCTCCACAGGGTCTGGTCATTCCATAATCCCCTTGTTTTGCCCATTGGATCTTGGGCACTAGAGTGTGTGGCTGGCATGTTTCAGGGTAACCACACAGGGGATTCAAACCACGTCCAGTTTCTCTTGAGCAGTACATCACAGCTGCATCATGGATCAAGCCCTACATAATCTTATTGTTTTCTTCTTTTTTAAAAAATTTGCTATAGGACACAGGCGCTCACCAGAGGAGAAGTGGGGAGTAAGAAGCACACTCCCAGGCGTAATGGCCATGTTGCAATACCTTCTCCATTCTCCTCTCAGGATTTTGAACACATATACATATACACATGGTGTGTTTTTCAAGCTACCAAGTGCCAAATTTGAACTGTGCAGTTGGCCATGTGGCATTCAACCATCTTAACCACGATGCTACTGGCCGGCCCTATTTTCATTTTTCAATTCCAGTAAATTTACCATACTTTATTCATTTACCCATTTTTTGACATGTGGATGGCTTCTAGTTTATTGCTATTATAATATTGCAATAAACATCTTCATACTGATAGCCTTTCTTCACATTAGGTTATTTTTGTAGAATAAGAATAAAATAGAAATGTTTAAATATATCTTGCTTTCTAAAAAAGACTAGACCAATTTTGAGTACCAGCAGTATATATAATCATTTAACTTACTATATTTATTATATCAGTTTCACCACATAAACTTTTTTTGACAAGCCAAAAAGAAAATTACTTTATTTTATATTGATTTCTTTATTTTATACTGATTTCAACAGAGCTGAAATAATGAATGATTTTTCTAAAAGCAACATAGTTTACCTTGTTTAATTTTTCATCCTGACTACCTGTTGCTTTTACAATTTTTAAAAGATTTATTTATTTTATTTATTATTGTTATTATTATTATTTTTACTTTAACCAAGAGAGACAGAGAGAAAGGGAAAGTGAGAAAGCAAGCTGCCAGGTTCAGGATTTGAATCATGGTCGGCCATGTGGGAGTCCAGTGCCTTAACCATCATACCACCTTCCAGTCTTGACTTTTGTCATTTTTAAAAAGCAATGAAACTGGGACCAGCAGATGACATAATGGTTACATCGCTGTACTCTCACATGGCTGACTGCAGCGAATTCGAATCCCAGACCCAGCAGCTTGAAACTCAAGCCAAGCATATGTGCATGCATGCCTAATCCCAAGAAGAGCATGGAGGAGAAGGGATTGTGACTTGGCCATCCCCCCAGGAGGTGATTTCTTGCTTTCTGTCTCTGTCCTTCTCTCTCTCTCTTGCAAGTGCACAAGCCCTATAGCAAAAACATCGCTCTCTTAAAAAAAAAAGCGGTGAAACTAGTACATATTCATCCTCTTATAATTAGAAAAAGAATAGAATTAATTTCTATAATATCATTACCAGAGCTAACATTTTGATAATTGCATGTGTATGAAGAGAACACACACAAATATATTTATATAACATATATAATTATTCTCCTTTAAAAATTAACAATCGTGTGTGTGTGTGTGTATATATACATACATACATATATATATATATGATATCAGCAAAAGTAAGTAAATGTTATTTTCTTTTCTTTCTGACTCAAAAGGCAGTGTAACTGTCTTGGAGCTCTTTCTTTCTTTCTTTCTTTCTTTCTTTCTTTTTTTTTTTTTCAGGTGGTCACTGTATTTTATTGGAAAACATTGATATATATTTTTCTTCACAGCTTGGACACAATATTGCCTGGTTTAAAAAAAAAATTCTGAAAATACTGGAACTCTTTCTGTAGTGGTACATAGAGAACCAGTTGACTCTCTTCTTTTTAAAAAATAGCTCTTTAGTATCCGTTGGTGCCAAAAGTTTATTTAACGATTCCACTCTACAGAACACTTGGTAACCAATGTGCATGTGTTTTTTCAAACTCCCACAGGTGGATATGGACAAGAGTGGAGAAGTACGACTTATAGAACTGGATGAATCTTTCAAAAGTGAACACACTGTTTTTGTAACCCCGCCTGAGATCCCTCATCTACCCAACGGTGAAGAACCCCCTTTACAGTACAGGTATTCGAGGGGGAGAATGTTTGAAATTGAGAGAGAGAAGCGATCCATCATCTGTGGCGTAGCTTTCTAAGGACTGTGGTATTTTCAAAAGTTTACAGATCCCTAATTTTTAGGTGGTAAGCAAGCTTATCCCACATCCATTATTAAGTTTGAGGTAGAAACAAAAATATATATAATTTTGAATAATACAGCTTTGGGAAGCTCTAATTATATCTGTATCAGTATCCTAATAAATATTGATTAAATTCCATTAGATTCCTCCCCTCAGGTGCAGCACTTTTTATTCCATTTCAATTTTTGTTTTTTATTAAAGCTGATTTCCTCATTCCTACCCCCTCTTTTTATCCCGTGAACACATTGATAAGATAACTTTAGTTTATGAAAGAGTAAATCTAATTCAGAATCAATATTTGTGGCCTGTATTTGTATGATATAATTTTGGGAGCTTTTTACATTTTCCGTAAGCTTTTATTTTAAATTATAGAAATGCAGAATTATAGGAATGTATCTTTGCTAATTTAGGAAATTTGATCAGACACGGTGTTAAGTGCTTGGTACATAGACTTGAGTGATTCATTGTCAGTGCCTTCAAGCCTAGTGGGGGAGAGAGAAAATTCCTGAGCACCGTAAAATAAGGGCTACGACAGAGATAGATTTATTATTTATTATACATTTATTTTTCCTTAAAATTGCATTTATTTTATATTGTAAATATTTATTTTCCAATAGCACTTTCTTATTTTATTGAAAAATTCTAAACTCGCTTCACATTTATTATTCATTGAGTCAAGTTTGTTGTTTTCATTAAAAAAGCACTTTCTGAGACATCATCATTTGCGATTTGGATTAAATTCTTCATTTCACAGTTGAAAAAGTGGTGTGTGGTGTGACCAATATGTGTGAATATGATTCCTACTCTTAATTTTCATCCTTTGATGGTGTTGCTCATATTATTTCTGAAAAATCTGTCTCTCGTCAAAGATATCTGAACCATTTTTCCTTCTTTTTCTCTTAATTTTTTTTCCAACAAGATTTTGGTTTTATAATTTCTTCTGTATTTAACACTTCTTAGTCTTCTTTGGGTATGTTTTCATTAATATAATTTTTTTCTTAGTTCCTGTGAATTGATCTTGACTTCTTTCTTTTTTTTTTTTTTTTTAGAACTTTTTGCCTTAGGGTGTGTGCACTTGCCAGAGAGAGACAGAGATAGTGAGAGGGAAAGTGAGAAATGAGAAATCATACCCCAAGGAGAATAGCCACACCACAATCTTTTAGATTTTTTTCCATAAATAAGAAAATTACTTAGTTTAAAAGTGTCTACCTTTTAAAAAGCCCAAATCATTTCTTTTCAAGAATGCCAATATAATTTTAGTGTAATTATAACCTATCATTGGGAAAACAGCTTAAATGTCTTTGATGAACACAGTGGTCTTAATAACAGATGCCTTCATATTCTTAAATGTAATATAATGAGGCATTTCCACAAGACACACAAAATGATCTTATACTATGGCCATATGATGAATTTTTAAATTTTTTATTTGTTACTATTAATTTTTAATTTGCTTTAGTGTTCACCAGAGAGAGATAGAGAAAGAGAGAAAACAAGGCACCAGATCCTGGACTCGACCCACAGTCAGCTATGTGGAAGTCCTGCACCTTAACCACTACACTGCTACAAGTAACAAGAAGTTACTTGTATGCAACTGTTATCAAACCAGTAAGACAGCATCTATGCATCCATCATTTTCAGGATTGTTAACTTGGACATATTTCCCCCAAATAACCTTGCCTCCTGTGTCACAAGGCCCAACTTGTTCACATTTGTCTCAGTGACAGTATCTTTGGTGATAACACCCAAAGTTGTATGTAGAGGGGATGAGGGATTCTTCTTTACATCGAGTAAAGGCAAAAGGTGGCAGGCAAAAGGTGGCTTTCAGTTCAGGATGTTAGGTGGGCCCTCTTAAAACATAAACCCATTGGCCTAATGAACCTTTCATATTTAGGTGGTTTTCTAGTAAAGCCATCTCCAACAAAGCAGACTTTTATAACCATCCTCTTCATGCCGCCTTCTTTCTCTTTCCTGTTCAAATAACTTTTTTTTTTAACTATAGAGCGCATGCGCTCGCCAGAAAGACAGAGAGAGACAGAAAGCAAGAAATCACCCCGCAGGGGGTGCCACACCGCAATCTCTTCGCCTCCATTCTCCTCTTGGGATCTTGAGCACACACACGCCTGGCATGAATTTAAGCCACCGGGTCCGGGCTCGAACCATGGTCGACTACATGGGAGTTCAATGACATAGCCATTACACTAACTGCTGGTCCCCTGTTCAAATAACTTTTAATACTTTTGTTTCTCCTTGTGCTCGAACTTTGGATAGAGGGACTTTTTATTTTCCTGCTTCCTCTTTCTCTCATTTTTTTTTTTTTTTGAGAGGTTTTTGCTATAGGACACTTGCGCTTGCCAAAAAGAGAGAGAGAGACAGAGAGACAGACAGAGAGACACACGCACATGCACCCGGCGTGAGTTTAAGCCACCCGATCCGAGACTTGAACTGCGGTTGAGTACATGGAAGTTCAGCAACATAGCCATTACACCAACTGCTGGTCCCCTTTTTTTTTTTCCTCTTTCCATTTTTGTTTAATCATATTGGAAAGTGCTTTAGCTCAGGACTGTCCTTTTCTGTCCAACAGATAGGCAGGTACTGCTCCTTGTGGAGTCTTCTCATCACTGTTTTGTTTGGTGTTCCTCTTTTCATGCATCTTGATAGTCTTTTTCATTTGTATTTTTAGACCATTCATCTTTTTGCCTTTGAATGATCATGAGCCTCTCGACTTTCCTTCTTTCTCTTTTTCTCATGGTAATCCAGATGATATCCATAACATTTACAACGTAATTCAAAATATTCATTTTGTGGCATGTTGATGCTGCAGAGTCACTGGGAGCAGCCTCCTGGACACAAAGAAGTTGTCAACTTTCAGGTCTCAGAGACCCACTTTATTTGCTTTTAAGAGTATTATAAAATAGCTTGGGACCGGCCAGGTGGCATGGCGTCTTGATCCCACATAGCCAACCCTGCAGTACATGTCCCGAACCCAGTAGTTTGAAAAACGCACCAGGCACATGTGCATGTGTGCCCAAAATCACAAGGGGAGGGTGGCAGAGAAAGGATTGCAGCGTGGCCATCCCCCATCTCTCCTGCAAATACATGCACCCTATAGTCAAAAAACTATTTTTAAAAATGTATTCTGGGGACCAGCAGTTAGCATAATGGCTATATCACTGGACTCCCATGTAGTCAACCGCAGTTTGAGTCCTGGACCCGGTGGCTTAAAACTCACTCCGGGCGCGTGTGCGTGCGTACCCAAGATCCCAAGAGGAGAGTGGAGGAGAAGGGATTGTGGCGTGGCCACCCCCCCTGGGGGGTGATTTCTCACTTTCTATCTCTCTGTCTCTGTCTGTCTGGCGAGCGCACACGCCCTGTAGCAAAAACCTCTGCAAAAAATAAAAAGTATTCTGTAAGTGAAGTTTGTTTCTGATGTCTTCTTCTGTTATTTACAACATGTCTTTTTCTTGGCCTTTGCTTTTTACATGCCCAGAGCCCTTAGTTTAGTACCTTAGTTAGACCTCCCTCCTGATAGAGCCACCCGTTCTCATCTGATATTCCTCTTCTCCAGCCTCTTCCATATTCTGTCTCTTAAATGAACTTGCTAGTTAACCTGATTAAACCAGTTCATGATAATGCGAGAGGCAGGTCTGGTATGCTGAATGTCTTATACCTGGGGTGGTCATTTACATCTTCAGACGGAGAACTTCTACAGTAAGATATGCTCATACAAAGCAATGACATTAATGACTGTCCTATTTGAAAGACTATTACTTTGGTGGGCTCTTTACCAATTGTCATATTTTTTAAAAGAATGATTTTATTTAACTTTATTTATCTTTAATTTGACCAGAGAGGGACAGAGTGAGAGAGAGAAGGCTGGGGGGAAGTGAGAATGCAAGTCACCAGGTCTAGGACTCGAACTGCAGTCGGCCTTATGGGATCCAGCCACCCTTAACCACCACGCCACCTGCTGGCCCCCCAACTGTCATATTTTTAATATGTTTGCTATGTATCTTCATGAATACTAACCTTTAAAAATATGCTTGAGTTACTTTGGAGTTTGATGTCAAGGTTAGCAAAATCTAAATGTACTTTCCTTTTTCCCCTCAAATATATAATTGAGTCTGTATTTGGCTATTACATTTCTAAATATTATAGTAAGAAAAGCAACATTAACATGAATATTTATTGAGTATATATTATAATCTGATGGAGAAAGATAACTAAGATAAATCCAAAGGTAAAAAGTTATTGGTCGTATATTTCTTTTTTTTCTAGTTATAACCACTATGATCATCTATGTTTGCTTGAGATTTTTTTTGTTGTGGTTTTTTTTTTTTTCCCCTCAAATAGCTATAATGGATTTCCAGTTCTGAGGAACAATTTATTCGAGAGACCTGAAGGATTTCTACAAACGCGAAAGAATAAATTGCCTTCAAAATCAAGTAATCCTAGCAGCCCTTCTCCCATGTTCAGAAGAACAAAACAGGTGCTTTGAAAAGTTTGCATTCTTTGTGTAATCTAATATTTGAACAAGAAGTGAATTTGACATTTTCCTCCTTCAATATACTTTATCACTCCATGTATAAATCTGTTAGGTCATTGGGAAAATCATGAGGTATTTTTCTGTGCAGAAATGTATAATGACTTTTCTGATGACCCAATATTTTATTATGTTTCCCAAAGCATTTGGAAGATCATTTAGGGTAGTCTGACTTTGAGAAATTAGCTAGCTGTCTTAAAACTTTATTTTATATATCGTATAATGCAAATTCAAGCAAAGGCCTGAAAATACATTAATAATAGACAGATTTTTGTTACAGAGACATTTTAAAAGCATGTGACTTGTATTTATTCAGCATTCAGTCAAATAATGGTGCCTAAAAGTATAAATTTGTTAGTGAGATTTCTGCATTTTTTTCCCTAGGAAATTAAGTCAGCCCATAAAATCGCCAAGAGGTATTCTTCCATCCCTCAGATGTGGTCTCGGTGTCTACTGCGTCACTGTTACGGACTGTGGTTCATTTGTCTCCCAGCTTATGTGAAAGTTTGTCATTCAAAAGTCAGGGCCCTGAAAACAGCATATGATGTGCTAAAAAAAATGCAGTCAAAGAAGATGGATCCACCTGATGAGGTAAAAATTATTCTTTAAAATGCATCATTGTTCTTTAGATATTTATGCATCGGTGACTTTCCTTGCACACCCTGGCCTTGTGTTGCAGGTGTGCTACCGCATTCTCATGCAGCTCTGTGGGCAGTACGACCAGCCAGTGCTTGCTGTTCGCGTGCTCTTTGAAATGCAGAAAGCTGGTATTGACCCCAATGCCATCACTTACGGTTATTATAATAAGGTAATCACTTGGATTTAATGGAGAAAGAGTATTATTTTGACATAATACAGGCTTAATTTAATGGCAGAAATAATCAGTACAAGGGTTATTTGGAATTTATTTTAGAATTCCTAAAATATATTTGTGAATCAAGTGAGATGTTTTTGTTCTCTTTTGGTGTTATACTTGATATTCTTTAGCTTGATTCTGAAGGTAATGGATGTTCATTTTACTAATTATCTTATTTCATTGAATGAATAGGCTGTTTTGGAAAGTACCTGGCCTTCAAGAAGTCGTAGTGGCTATTTTCTTTGGACAAAAGTAAGAAATGTGGTGTTAGGAGTAGCACAGTTCAAAAGAGCTTTAAAGAAACATGCACACTTATCACAAACGACTCTCTCAGGTAATTAAGGATTTTTAAGGGATGTACATGTTTTACTTTTTCTTCAAAATTAATTGACTAGCTATTTTACATTTTCAGATCTTTGAAATAGTTTCAAACAATTGAATATTTTGTAATTTTCATTGCCATTAAGTAACTTCTGATATTAGAGTTCTCTGTCCATTAAAAAAAAAAAAAAAAAATTACTTTGTTTTCAACTAAGTTATCAACCTTTTGTGGTCTTTAGTGTTCATTAATTCACATAGATTTCTTTGTTATAGTTATATTTTGCTAATTATGTGGCACTTTCCATGTTCATTATTATATTCGTAGATGACCAGCTTGAGCAACAAGCTAAAATGTGTTTTCGCTCTCTACTGGAGTAGTAAAATGCTATCAAATTGTGTTCTTAAGCAGATGGCAGTGACCTGGATGCTGTTAGTCATGGCAGCATGGATAGTGGTCATGGGACGCACACTGTGGAGCAGGCACCTTTTAATACGGGTGTAAACAAAGTATTTGCTACTGATGATAGAGCTAGTACAGGTTTGTGTGTGCTTACGTATACATTCATTACAGTGCCTTTTTAAAACGAGATTGCTAGCTTGTGTTTTTAAATTTTTCATTTTCAGCAATACGCTTATCACTTTCTCATTTTATATGTTATTACTTCATTTGATATTGAATTTAATAACTATATGGAGTAACATTCATTTTTATTTGACTAGAAACAGAAGTTTAAGAGAGGTTAAAAAGGGGGCAGCAGATGGAGTGGTGGTTAAGGCTCTGGAATTCCCATATGGCCGACCATGGTTCGAGTCCCAAACTTGGCAGATTGCTCACGCTCTCTGTCTCTCTCTCTCTCTCTCTCTCTCTCTGTCTTTTTCTGGCAAAATTCATGTGAATAAATAAATAAATAAAATAATTTTTCAAAATACTTTTAAAAAAGAAAGAATCCTCTTTATAAAAGAGAGAGAGAGAGGTTAAAAAGTACTTCACTTAGGTATCTACTCCACAGTAATCCAGTGAACTCTGAGTAGCACACAGGTCTCTCTCTGTCTGTCTTTCTCTCTTTTTTTTTTCTTTTGCTAGAGGACATATCTGCTTACCAGGGACATAGACAGAGGGAGAGGAGAAAGCATCTTTCCCATTCCACAGAGAACGGCCACGCCGCGATTCCTTCTTCTCCATCTCTCCCCCTTTCGGGATTTTGTACATACATACACGATGTGCCTGATGTGTTTCTCAAGACGCAAGGCCCAGTACGCAGACTGCACAGTCAGCCATGTTGGATCCAACTGCCTCGTTCACCAAACCAGGGAGCTGACCCCAGTTCTCTTTACCACACCATTTCCTTAGGATAAATTCTCTAAAATTAAGAAAATGTTGTTAAAGTTATAAAAGAACTTAAAGCCCTTTATATAAGTTAATAGTGTTGTACCAGCCTCAGTTTCCTGGTTTTAACAATTATTACTGTGGTGCCGGCAGGTGGCATGGTGGTTAGGGGCACTAGACTCCCACATGACCAACCAAGATTTGAGTCCCAGACCTAGTGGGCTTGCTTTCTCACTTTCCCTCTCTCGCTCTCTCGCTCTCGCTCTCTCTGTCCCTTTCTTGTCAAATTAAAAAATATAAGTATAGTTAAATAAAATAATTATTTAGAAAACCAATTACTATGGTTATATAAGATGTTGTTGGGAGAAGCTAGGTAAGGGGTACCTAAGAACATGGTATTGTACTATTTTTGCAACTTCTTAGTCTGAAACTTCTTAACATAAAAAAATACAATAAAAATTTTCCAGTGTGTGAAAATATCCAAGCTCTAAGGATTGCATTAATTTCATTGAAATATAAGATTTATACATAAGTTTTTCCTGTTATTAAAACTGACACACTTAAAAATAAGTACTTTCTGGGACCAGCAGTTAGTGTAATGGTTATGTCACTGGACTCCCATGTAGTCGACCAAAGTTCGAGTCCCAGACCCGGTGGCTTAAACTCATGCCGAGCGCATGTGCATGCATGCCCAAGATCCCAAGAGGAGAACAGAGTAGAAGGGATTGCAGGTGGCCATCCCCCCTGGGGGGTGATTTCTCGCTTTCTGTCTCTCTGTCTCTGTCTGGCGAGCACGCACACCCTATAGCAAAAACCTCTCAAAAAAAAGTACTTTTAAAATTCTGTCTTTTTTATTATTATACTTACAAAGTTACATGATTTTCAAATATAGCATTAGAGTGAACTTTAACAGAAACGTTAAAAATTGAAGCATTATCAATAAAATATGAAGACACTTATCTTCACAATTGGCAACATTATTTTGGTCTGTCTCCTTTTGTGACTGCTTTTAAGATTAAACTAGTTTGGGGAACCAGTGGCATAATGACTATATTGCTGGATTCCCATGTAGTTGACCGCGCTTTGAGTCCCGGACCCGGTGACTTAAACTCATGAAAGGCACGTGCATGCCCAAGATACTGAGAGGAGAACGGAGGAGAAGGGATTGTGGCATGACCATCCCCCCTGGGGGGTGATTTCTCATTTTCTGTCTCTCTGTCTCTGTCTTTCTGGTGAGTACATGTGCCCTATAGCAAAAAAAAGGTTAAACTAATTGTGTTGAGAGGTAATAGGCAGAGTTATTTTTCCTTGGCTTGTTTTATTTTTTGATTGTGTAATGTGAGTTTAATCAGTTATAGTATGTTGTTCTCAGGTATTCTCTCTAAAAATTCATTATTTGGAGGGCTAGCCAGTGGCATGGTGGTGAAGGTGGCCAGATCCTACATGGCTGACTGCACAGTTTGAGTTCCAGACCCAGCAGCTTGAGAGACACACTGGGTGCTGGAAAAGAATGAAGAGAAGGGATTGTGGCATGACCAGCTCCCCCAGGGAATGCTTTCTACTTCTCTCTCTCTCTCTGTCTCGTTTCTGTCTTTCTCTGGCAAGCACAGTTTATAACGAATTGAAGGAAAAAAGTTATTTTAACTATTTTTTAAAGGCTATTTTAAAACAGTGTAGAATCTAAACAGACCATGAATTGCATCATAATTATTTGTAAATTTTTCTATTTGTAGTTTCTTAGGAAATTGGCATAAAACTTTGATTAGAAAAAAGACAAACATGGACCACAGATAGCATAATGGTTACGTTGCTGGTCTCCCACATAGTCAACTGCGGTTAGAGTCCCAGACTCGACAGCTTAAAACTCATGCTGGGTGCGTGTGTGTCTGTGTGCCCGAAACCCCAAGAGGAGACTGGAGGAGAAGGAATTGTGGTGCGGCCATCCCCCCTAGGGGGTGATTTCTCGCTTTCTGTCTCTCTGTCTCTCTCTGGCGAGTGTACTCACTCTCTAGGAAAAATCTCTCTTAAAAAAAAAAAAAGACAAACTCAAAATTATAACAAAGTGATAATGCAATTTTAAAATCATTTCACAAATGAGCTCATGTGGTTAAAACAATGATGTGTTTTACACATCTGAGAACTGGGTTCTAAAGTTAAGTGGTTTACTAAAAATCACATCTAAGATCGGGAACTAGAATTCAGAACCTCATCTTTTGATTTAATCTAGTGAAAACCATGTGCTAAAAATGGTACAGAGCCTCTAACAAGAGTGCATTAGCAGTTTTCTTATATCGATAGAACTTTCGCCTTTCATAATAACTTTATTTTGCCTTTCATAATAACTTTAGCACCAGCTTCCTCCCTATGTTCCCATGCATTCGTGCTCGTGCGCAATTCAGTAATTGTTTAGCTGAGGGCCAGAGAGTGGTGTGTTGGTTAAAGCAGCTGGATCCCATATGGCTGACTGCACAGTTTGATTCCTGGACCTGGTACTTAAAAAACATGCTGGGTGTGTGTACCTGTGTGCTCAAAACCTTGAAGAGAGAATGGAGGAGAAGGGATTGTGGCATGACCATCCCCATATGGGAAGTGATTTCTTACTTTCTCTTTCTAGCTGTCTTTCTCTCTCTTTTAAATTCTTTTAAAAATAAGAATTGTTCAGTTGAATTTTCAGAAAATTACTTATCAATTAATTCAACGAAACCCAATTTTTTGGTAAGATAACCATGACATTCAGCCCCAGTGATTTGTACAGGAGTGCTCTGTTATGAGGGCCCATAGATTTCTCTTCATTGCTTAGTCAGACTCAAACTTGACTGCAGAGGCCATGGCCTTCTACCAAGGACACCTAGTACATCTGTGTCTTTCAGAGCCCACAGTGGCATGAATGGATGTAACTGCTTTGGCCATTGGTAGCCAAAACTGGATTATTTTAAGAACATCTCTTTCTTGGGGCCAGAAGGTGGCATAGTGGTTATGGCACTGGACTCACATATGGCCAAATGCAGTCTGAGTTCCAGACCTGGCAGCTTGAAAATCATGCCAGGCATGTGTGTGTGCATGCCCCAAATCCCAGGAGGAGAATGGAGAAGGGATTGCGGTGTGGCCATCCCCTCCTGGGGGGTGATTTCTCACTTTCCCTCTCACTGTCTCTCTCTCCGACTCTCTCTGGTGAGCACACACACACCACCAGAGTTTAATCAGTTATAGTATGTTGTTCTCAGGTATTCTCTCTAAAAATTCATTATTTGGAGGGCTAGCCAGTGGCATGGTGGTGAAGGTGGCCAGATCCTACATGGCTGACTGCACAGTTTGAGTTCCAGACCCAGCAGCTTGAGAGACACACTGGGTGCTGGAAAAGAATGAAGAGAAGGGATTGTGGCATGACCAGCTCCCCCAGGGAATGCTTTCTACTTCTCTCTCTCTCTCTGTCTCGTTTCTGTCTTTCTCTGGCAAGCACAGTTTATAACGAATTGAAGGAAAAAAGTTATTTTAACTATTTTTTAAAGGCTATTTTAAAACAGTGTAGAATCTAAACAGACCATGAATTGCATCATAATTATTTGTAAATTTTTCTATTTGTAGTTTCTTAGGAAATTGGCATAAAACTTTGATTAGAAAAAAGACAAACATGGACCACAGATAGCATAATGGTTACGTTGCTGGTCTCCCACATAGTCAACTGCGGTTAGAGTCCCAGACTCGACAGCTTAAAACTCATGCTGGGTGCGTGTGTGTCTGTGTGCCCGAAACCCCAAGAGGAGACTGGAGGAGAAGGAATTGTGGTGCGGCCATCCCCCCTAGGGGGTGATTTCTCGCTTTCTGTCTCTCTGTCTCTCTCTGGCGAGTGTACTCACTCTCTAGGAAAAATCTCTCTTAAAAAAAAAAAAAGACAAACTCAAAATTATAACAAAGTGATAATGCAATTTTAAAATCATTTCACAAATGAGCTCATGTGGTTAAAACAATGATGTGTTTTACACATCTGAGAACTGGGTTCTAAAGTTAAGTGGTTTACTAAAAATCACATCTAAGATCGGGAACTAGAATTCAGAACCTCATCTTTTGATTTAATCTAGTGAAAACCATGTGCTAAAAATGGTACAGAGCCTCTAACAAGAGTGCATTAGCAGTTTTCTTATATCGATAGAACTTTCGCCTTTCATAATAACTTTATTTTGCCTTTCATAATAACTTTAGCACCAGCTTCCTCCCTATGTTCCCATGCATTCGTGCTCGTGCGCAATTCAGTAATTGTTTAGCTGAGGGCCAGAGAGTGGTGTGTTGGTTAAAGCAGCTGGATCCCATATGGCTGACTGCACAGTTTGATTCCTGGACCTGGTACTTAAAAAACATGCTGGGTGTGTGTACCTGTGTGCTCAAAACCTTGAAGAGAGAATGGAGGAGAAGGGATTGTGGCATGACCATCCCCATATGGGAAGTGATTTCTTACTTTCTCTTTCTAGCTGTCTTTCTCTCTCTTTTAAATTCTTTTAAAAATAAGAATTGTTCAGTTGAATTTTCAGAAAATTACTTATCAATTAATTCAACGAAACCCAATTTTTTGGTAAGATAACCATGACATTCAGCCCCAGTGATTTGTACAGGAGTGCTCTGTTATGAGGGCCCATAGATTTCTCTTCATTGCTTAGTCAGACTCAAACTTGACTGCAGAGGCCATGGCCTTCTACCAAGGACACCTAGTACATCTGTGTCTTTCAGAGCCCACAGTGGCATGAATGGATGTAACTGCTTTGGCCATTGGTAGCCAAAACTGGATTATTTTAAGAACATCTCTTTCTTGGGGCCAGAAGGTGGCATAGTGGTTATGGCACTGGACTCACATATGGCCAAATGCAGTCTGAGTTCCAGACCTGGCAGCTTGAAAATCATGCCAGGCATGTGTGTGTGCATGCCCCAAATCCCAGGAGGAGAATGGAGAAGGGATTGCGGTGTGGCCATCCCCTCCTGGGGGGTGATTTCTCACTTTCCCTCTCACTGTCTCTCTCTCCGACTCTCTCTGGTGAGCACACACACACCACCATGCCAAAATCTCAAAAAAAAAAAAAAAAAATCTATTACAATAATGGAGTTGGGGATGGAGGGGGATAGCTAACAAAATAATACGTTCAGTTGAAAGTTATCCAGAAAAATTTCTGTAAGTAAATCCAAACATGTTTATAATTCCAGTTGCTCTCACTATGTTATGATAAATAACACAGTAATTTTGTCCTCCCTTTTTTTTCCCCCAGGTGGCCAATCGGATCTTGGATATAATTCATTATCTAAGGATGAAGTTAGAAGAGGGGATACATCTACTGGGGACATTCAAGAAGAAAAAGATAAAAAAGGGAGTGATTCTAGTTCCCGTAGGTATTAAGTTGATATGCTATAAAATGGTCAACTTATATTCATAGAAAATACAAGCAACTTTAAGTATAAAAGTGCTAGTTTTCCCATTTTAACTCTTCCCTTCCTCTCAATATAAGCCCTCTCACAACTTAATACTTTCATAGAAATGCTCCAGATGCGACATGTATCGTCTCGTCAGTTACTCTACTCAGACACTGTTAGAGTCAATGCTATATAATCACAAAGTATTCTTATTATAGTAGAAATATATATTTCTTGAAGCCATGGCTCTTCCACGAGGTTTGACATTATTTTTATTTAGAATTTCTTAATGGCCTATGATTTATATTTATTCCTCTCCTCCACCGAAAGCACTCTTTCACAAAGAGGAAGTGTAAAATTGGTACATGGACGTCATGCATGACCAGTACTTAGTAATTTCATCCACACTTTCAGGCCTCAAATAAATGAAATTGCTTTTTTGAAGTTGACAAGTAGATTTTATATATATATATATAAAATATAAATAAAATAAATAATAAATATAAATAAAATCTATACATATATATATATACACACACATACACACAATATTTTCTTAACTTACCACCTGTTTTCAGGTAGAACTAAAAGCTACTTTATACCTCCTATAGTATCTACGGATTTCATTTTATTAACATTTTCATTCTCATCTTTATAGTGTCAGAGAGTGAAAGTGCAAAAGGAAGTGCCGATTGCCTGCCAAAGCTCAATTATGAGAGTTCTTCCAGCATAGTCCGCCTCGGTGGTACAAGCAACAGTAGTGCCGACAAAGTGTCAGGAGGAAGCGCAGGTGAGCAGGATAGTGTATACATCCGCTGTGTGCAGAATACTTTGTATCAGTGTGTCTACTGAATACTTTTGAAAGTAATTTTTAATCTATATCTGAGTAGCCTCTCATGGTATGGCTTAGTAGCTGAGTTCTATATTTTACAACATACTTCATTCAGGCTTTTTTTTTTTTTTTTAATTTTTGCCAGAGGGCAGGTACATACTCAGAGACATGGAACGTAGAGGGAGAAAGCACTCCCCGGTGTGGCATCGGCATACTGCAGTCCCTTCTCCTCCACTTCTCCGTCTTGTTGGGACTGGGGATACACAAGCATGTGTGCCTGGCATTTTTTTAAACTACCAGGGCCAGATTCAAATCCTAGTCAGCCGTGTGGAATCCAGCTTCCTTAACCACAAGGCCATGGGGCCAGCCCTGTGTTCAAGCTTTTACTGTAACAAAGTAGAGGGGTAAACTTCTAACCTACATACTGCCTTTTGTTTTAGACTGTTGAGGTTTTCTCTCTCTCTCTTTCTCTATCTCTTTCCCTTTCTCTTTCTTTAAGTTTATTTCTACTATATTGTTTCAATTTTTTTATAAGCAAAAGAAACTTTTCTTTCTTCTTTTTTTTTTTTTTTTTTTCCTTACAAGGTCTTTCAATGTCACATTCAGCCTCCCAGTTAGCTAGGACTGCATAGTTACTGACCTGTTTAGATTGGGCTGGGACTTGAACCCGTGCCTCCCATGTGGCCTTAACCATCTTAGAAGTATGCACCACTGCAGCTGAGGCCAGCCTAGCCAATTTTTGAATGAAGCATTGTTGAATGGTTCCTTAGTCTTAATATTATTCCTGTTACTCAGAGACAGAAGGGTAGCCCTTCAGATAATTTAAGTATACATAATCAGTATGTTTTTCTTTTCAAAGTGTTTTTGCATATTGTTTTATATATATTTGTTAATATAATGTTTATATTAGTGAGAGAGGGGATATTAGCAATATTTTAAAGATGAGATGATTAAGCCATAATTTAACAATTGTCAGGTTAATGATAATAGTTAATCAAATCAGATTAGGATCCAGGATAATACTTGGCCTCAAAAATTTTTCACCGTACCATTTTTGGAGTATTACGTGGACATAAGATTTAGCTTCTAGTGCTAACATCTGATTACATAATTACTTGGGCTTTTCTTTATTAGCTCAATTTTGAATCATTTTATAATATAAAGAACACTGAAGAACTTAAGCTGTCGAGGCTAAACTGCTCTCTGTAAATGGCCTTGCTGCAGTGATGTCTGTTCTACATCAGAATTGATATGCTTCTAGCTCAGGGTAGGCAGACAAATCTAGCTGGCAGCCTATTTTTCAATTGGCCCACAAGTTAACAGTGGTCTTTAATGTTTTAATGGCTGGGGGAAAAAATCTAAAAAGAATACTATTTTGTGATACATAAAAAATTTATGAAATTCAAAGCCCAGTGTTCATAAATAAAGGTCGGAACACAGCCAAACTCATTCATTTACACATTGTCTCGACTGAGTAGAGACAGTCGGTGTGATAAGACCACAGAGCCCTGAGACAGAAATGCTTACTCTCTAAGCCCTTCAAAGTCTGTAGAACCCTGTTGTGGCTAACCAAACTTAGGAAAATTAGATGGCCTATAGCTCTCATACTTTGCATTTTGTTGTTAGATAATTGTTATCATTTGAACTTTAAATGTTTTCAAGGGTATCATGGAATTGGTTCACAACGATTTAGTCCTACCTTATCAGTTTCTAATGCAATCTTTAAAAACTTGCCTTTGGTGGTCCTTGTTTTATTGTTCTTTTGTTACTGTCTGTACATGTTGTTGTTTTTTTTTTCTTTTTTTCTCCTTAAGATCTACTTTTATGAGCTTGTGTTTTTGTTAAGGTCTGCTTCTGTGAGCCTTTTATGTAAATGTAATTGCAAAGTGTCCCTTGATCCTGACATGTTGTCAGAGTAATAAGCATCTGACCGATCATCTGGCTTCTGGTTACCTTATGTGCTTAACAAGTCAATTTTGTAAATGCCTATAATAGATTTCCTTGGTGTGAATTAGAGTTGTTAGTTTATACTTGATATTTTTGGCCTGAAAACTTTCCCATCTGTTAAGCACTGAGGAGTTATCACCACTGCCAAAGACAGTAGGCTTCATAGGAACACTGATTCTTAAGTAACTTTCTTTTATTATATACTGGTATGTGCTAGGATTTAAAGCATCTTTTCAGGTACATTTATGTTTTACAGTACAATAGATGGACATTTGTTTATATCATTGGTGCACACTTATATATTTGTACACACACGACAGCTTCTGAGACATCTGGAAATAGAACAAAGAGATATTTTAATGTTTGGTTGGATACTGAAATAAACTCATGATTATCTGGAGAATTTAATTTTATTTTTGAGATATTTTTGCGCTAGGGCATGTGGGCTGGCCAGAGAGACAGAAAGTGAGAAATCAACCCCCCCAGGGGGGATGGTCACACCACAGTCCCTTCTCTTTCATTCTCCTCTTGGGATTTGGGCACACATGCTCATGTGCCCAGTATGACTGTCAAGCTGTTGAGTCCAAGGCTTGAACCATAGTTACCCACTGGGAGTTCAGTGCCTTAACCACGATACCACTGCTGGTCCCAAGAATTTAATATTTTTAAGAGGAAGCATTTATTTGCTCATCAATTACTATTATTTTTCAATTTGACTAGAGAAAGAGAGAAAGAAAAAGCGAGAAATCAAACTGTCAGGTCCAGGACCCTAACCATGGTCAGCCATGTGGGAGTCTAATACCTTAGCCACCACGCCACTTGCTGGCCCCAAGAATTTAAATTTTTGTAAATGTATAGTGGCTTTTTAGAGATATTTTTGTTATAGGGGACATGCACTCGCCAGAGAGAGACAGAGAGACAGAAAGCAAGAAATCACCCCCTGGGGGAATGGCCATGCCTCAATTCCTTCTCCAGTCTTCTCTCAGGATCTTCTCTCAATTTGATCTCTGGTCAAATTGAAACAAACAAACAAGTAAATAAAGTTAAATAAAATAATTACTTTTTAAACCTAATTCTGTTGTCAGTATGCTTTAGCTATTTATTAGCCACCCATAATATAGTGTCATATTATATTGTAGTAATACCACTTTATAATAGAATATGTTATATTCCTATTTGGTTGCTGCTGTGCCCAATAGACAGTATTGATTCAGTATATATTGTTTGAGCCCGTACTATAAACTATCATTTGCCAGGTGCTACTGGGTTTATAATAAGGAGCAAAAAATAAACATGATTCCTGCGTTCATGGAGAAAGCCTGGGAGGAATGGAAGGACGGTAACCCTGTAACCAAGTAGACTTGGAAAAATACTCTGAGAGTAAACACTTGGAAGAAGGGCTATGACTTGCTATGAGAACATACAGTAGAGAGATGTACCCTGGGCTTGGGGGACTTTGGTCAGGGAAGGCTTTCTTGAGAATGATTTTTGAGCTTAGAAGGATGAGTAGAAAATAAATGTGGGTAAGCATGGGGAAGGAGGAGCTGATAGGCTGCACCCCAGGCGTAGGGAGCCATATCCAAAGGAGAGGCTGTGCAGTAAGAAGGAGTCTCAGCCTGCTCAGAGATCTGAGAGAAGCTGTGTGTCAGCTAGGAATGCCTTCAGCCTTAAGCCTCAGAAAATAAGGTTAATAGTGGCTTAAAGAAGTTGAGGTTATTTTCTCACATAAGAAATTCGAAAGCAGTTGCTCTAGACTTTGGTTCAAGGGCTTTGCCGTCAGTTCTCTTGACCTAGCCATGATTAGACATAGCCATCAGCAGCGCCAGGCCTGTCTGTTCAAGGCAGAACGAATGCGAAAGTGGAACACTAGCCACATCTAGTGGGGTTTTTGTCAGGAAAGCAGAAGTTTTCACAGAAACCCTCAATGTCACGGGCCAGGAGACAGCAGATGGCATAGCAGTTACATCGCTGGCCTCCCACATGACCAACTGTGGTTTGAGTCCCAGCCCCAGTGGCTTCAAAATCAGATCATGTGTGTGTGTATGCATGCCCAAGATCCCCGAAGGAGAATGGAGAAGAAGGGATTGTGGTATGGCCATCCTCCCTGGGGGGAAACGGGGGTGATTTCTCACTCTCCCCCTCACTCTCTGTCTCTGTCTATCTCTCTCTCTCTCTGGTGAGCCTAAGCAAAAACCTCTAAAAATTTTTAAAAAGAAAAAAATCACTGGCAACAGTATGTCATAGAGCCTCCTAGGCCTAGGAAGTTAAATAGCTTGTAGCCTCTGTGTTAGAGGCATATAAAAATCCAGCCTTGTCTGGTAGAATTTTGCATACAGATAAATTTAGGATTGGACAGACTTTTCTGTAAAAGACCAAATAGTGAATATTTTGGCACTCGTAGGCTGCACACAAGTCCTATTACCTACGCTTTACGTGTCCATGAGTTTTATAGCCCTTCAGGAATGAAAAATCGCGTCAGGGTCCAACTGGCGGTATAATACAATGCTCTGCAGAGCTGGACCCACAGGAGAAAGACCTAGGTTTGTGTCCCAAAGTCTCCCTGTACCTGCTGGATCCATGTGTGCTCATGAGCCGAGCTGCTCTGGGGGTGGATCACAGTGTGAAGATCCTGTCAGGGCACCCGTCTCTTCATCACTTTCTTTCATGGAAGAAATAAATAAACCTTCAAAAAAGTGTTGAGGATTGGCCCCATAGCATATAGAGTAAGTGCTTTGCACTTAGAACTGGATCCTACGTGGCCAAATACAGTTTGACTCCTGGCCTCCGAGGCTTGGAAAAAAACATTGGGAATGTGTGCATGCAGGCCCAACATCCATCCTTCCTCCCTCCCTTCCTTCCTTTCTTTTTCTTTCTTTCTTTCTTACTGATTACTATAGGGCACATTCACTCACCAGAAAGTAAGAAATCATTCCCAGGGGTAGTAACCACAGCTCAACCCCTTCTCCTCCACTCTCTTCTTGTGTGCACACACACACACACACACACACACACACACACACCTGGTGTCTTTTTCAAGCCATGTCCAGGACTTGAACCTTAAAGTTGACCATGTGATATCCAGGTGCCTTAATCAGCACACCACCGACTGGCCCTTGTCTAGATTCCTGATGGGCAGGAGAAATGAAAGGAAAAAAGACTGTGGTGTGACTACACCCCATTGAGGGGTACTTTCTCCCTTTTCTCCCTTTCACTCTTGCTCACCCTCTTTTTTTTTTCTCGCTGGCAAGTGCACATGCTTTCTGGCAATAAACAAAAAAATTTTCTGAAGCTGTTCGAAAACAAATCTCAGGCCATACTCGGCTCCTCGGTGTCATGTGCCAGCCTCTGGGATGGTCTTCAACTACAGCGCAGTGCTGGCTTTGCAGTGGAGCCTTTGTGTGTCTTTTATTTTAATTGCCTGAGTGCACACGCGCTCACAAGAGAGACAGACAGAGAAGCAGAGGCAGAGGGACGAGGCGCCCTCCCAACAGGGCGTGGTCACTCCTTAACCCTTCTCCTCCATTTCTCCATCGTACCAGGATTTGAGGCACACACACAACACGTGCATATGCACACACCTGGTGCGTTTTGCACACTGCCAGGGCTGGGATTGGTACCACACAGTCGTCCATGTGGGATCTGGCTCCTTTAGCCACTAGGCTACTGGGCAAGCCAAGCACATCTGTTTAAATGCAGATCTGCAGTATTACCTTTGGGTTACACGATTTTTCCAAGTTTTTTACTATACTTACTCTGTCAAACAAAATTTCTGAGCATATCAGAATAAAATATATTTTTGATTTCTTATATCCTTCATCCTAAAATGATCAAAGAAAAAGCCTACCTTGCCTTCTGATGTTGTTTTCTTACTAATAGTATATGCTTGCTAAACAGTATTGTTTGCAGGCTTTTGTGGTATATACTGTTACCTTTTATTGCTTGTCCTGCCATCTACATGTATCAAATGACAGGTCAAAGGCATGTTTTTAGTAATTGATTGGCTATAGAGAGCAAATTATGTTGGATGAAACATGGAAGAATTATTGGGTCAGCTAGTCGCACGGTGGTTAAGGTGGCTGGATCCCACATGGCTGACTGCAAGTCCTGGATACCAGGCACGTGCCCAGGATCTTGAGAAGTGGAAGAAAAGCAGGAACCAGCAGTTAGCGTAATGGCTATGTCGGAAAAGGATTTGTGACAGACCACGTCCTTTCCAACTTTCTCTCTCTGTCTTTGTGCCTCTCCAGCAGGCACATGTGCCTTCTAGCAAACTTTTTTTTTTTTTTTAAGGTTTTTACCATAGGGTTTGTGCGCTTGTCAGAGAGAGATAAAGATAGACAGTGAGAGAGGGAAAGTGAAAAATCATTCTCCACCCCAGGGAGATGGCCATGCCACAATCCTTTCTCCTCCATTCTCCTCTCGGGATCTTGGGCACGCACGCACACGCGCTCGGTGTGAGTTTTAAGCCACCGGGTCCGGGACCTCAACTGCAGTCAGCCATGTGGGGAGTCCAGTGTCTTAACCATGACGCCACCTGCTGACCTCAACCCTGTAGCAAATATATCTTTAAAAAAAGAAGAAAGAACCAGCAATTGGCATAATGGCTATTTCTCTGGACTCCCATGTAGCCGACCGTGGTTTGAGTCCCGGACCTGGTGGCTTAAACTCATGCTGGGCGCATGTGCGTGTGTGCCCAAGATCCCAATAGGAGAATGTAGTAGAAGGGAGTGTGGTGTGGCCATCCCCCTGGGGGATGATTTCTCACTTTCTGTCTCTGTCTCTCTCTGTCTTTCTGGCAAGCACACATGCCCTATAGCAAAAAAACCTCCAAAAACAAAAGAATTATTATTACGAGGGTCCAGGTGGTGGTGCAGTGTTAACACAGCTGAACCCCCATATGAGAAAGGTCCTGTGTTCACATCTCGGGACCTCTCTAAGCATGCCAGGTGCATGCCTTTGATCTGAGTCAGCTGAAACTGGGGTGGATCCCAGTGTGAAGACCCTTTTGGGGATATACCCCTCCAAGTAAATAAATAAACTAACTTAAAGAAAAAGAATTACTGATAGTACTATACTTAGACTAATGTTTTAGAAGACTCTCAAATAATAAGGACAATTGAAGTGATTAGAATTCTACATTTCTGGGACGAGCAGTTAGCATAATGGCTATGTCACTGAACTCCTATGTAGTTGACCCCACTGGCTTAAACTCACGCCAAGTACATGTGCGTGCGTGCCCAAAATCCCAAGGAGAATGGAGGAGAAGGGATTGCAGCATGACCATACTCCCTAGGGGGTGATTTCTTGCTTTCTGTCTTTCTGTCTCTCTGTCTTTCTGGCAAGTGCACGCCCTGTAGCAAAAAACTCAAAAAGAAAAAAAAAGAATTCTACATTTCTGCTTTTGTTAGTATTCTTATCTAAGTAATTTGATAGGAAGAAATAAAACAGTGTTTCTGGATAATGTAAAGTGGTCATTCATGTTTGACCTGGTAGAAACTTGAAGTCAATGTGTTAAGCTAATATGAAATTATTTAACCACATCTATAGTCAAGGATTTGGAGATTTGAAATAATTTTTATTTATGAATAAAGTGAACATAGTTGCCTTTTGTTTGACATGGTGTTTGGGGGGTTGTTTTACTTTTTTTTTTAAGTTTTTTCCACAGGGTGTGTATACTCACCAGAGAGAGAGAGACAGAAAGAGAGGGGGAAAGTGAGAAATCATCTCCCAGGGGCATGGCCACACCACAATCCCTTCTTCTCCATTCTCCTCTTAGGATTTTGGGCCTACATGCACATGCTTCCGGCGTGATTTTCAAGCTGCCAGCTCTGGGACATGAACTGCAGTCAGCCATGTGGAAGTCCAGTGCCTTAACCACCACGCTACCTGCTGCCCCCTGGTTTTCATTTTAGTAAGCAGCAGCTCAGAATCTCAAGCTCATGTAGTGCAATCACAGTTGTATAACCATTCATATGTAATTTAGTGAAATTAATGTAAATTTATTACTATTATTAAATAAAAGTATTTAAATAAAATTATTATTAAATAAAATTAAAAATTATCTTAACTGATAATTTTTTTAAAAAGCAATGCCTCCACAGGACCAGCAGTTGGGATAATGGCTATGTCGCTGGACTCCCATGGAGTCAACTGCAGTTCGAGTCCCGGACCTGGTGGCTTAAACTCACTCCGGGCGCATGTGCATGCTTGCCCAAGATCCCGAGAGGAGAATGGAGAAGTGATTGCGGCGTGGCCATCCCCCCTCGGGGGTGATCACGCTTTCTGTCTCTCTGTTTCTATCTTTCTCATGAGCGCACATGCCTTATAGCATAATTAATTAATTCATTCATTCATTTTTAAAAAGCAATGCTTCCTAAACCTAGCCACAGTAGTGCACACTTGCAGACACTGCCACTCAGGAGGCTGAGGCCGCATGGGAGACTTGGTTCAATTCCCGGTCCACCCTAATAGCTGGACATGCCTGTAGTCCCTAGGTACACTAGAGGCTGAGGCAGGAAGATTATAATATAGTGAGGCTCTGTCCTTTAAAGCAAATAAAGAGAGAAAAGAAAAAGGCAATTCATCCTGATGTCTGGGAGCATACCCTGCATGTTCAAACAAACCTAGGTTTGAATCCCAGTTCTGTCGCGTAAGAACGGGATAACTTAAAACTGGGTAATCTTTCCAGGTGTGCATTTGTTCTCGACCCGTATGGATATTGGAATGTTCCCAGTAGATAACATAAGTGAAGTGCCTAGTAGTATATCTGTCAAATAGCAGGCACTCACTGAGTTTTCATTACTAAAATTTTAAATATTTAAGATTTGCACAGGGGCAGCAGCTGACATGGTGGTTAAAGGCGCTGGATTCCCCCATGGCCAACCGCAGTTTGAGTTCTGGGCCTGGCGACTTGCTTTCTTGCTTTCCCTTTCTCTCTCTCTCTCTCTCTCTCTGTCCCCCTCTGGTCAAATTTTAAAATAACAATAAATGGAATTAAATAAATAAAATTTTTTTTTAAAAAAGTTGCACATTTTTGTGGTTAAAAACACTTTCCTTGTTTTTTAGAAAGCACACCTGAGCTGCTCTTGATATCGTCTCTTGAGGATACGAACAAAACAGGAAACATTGAAAGTAAATGCTTCAGAAAAAGACATAAAAGTGACGATGAACCTAATGTGCAGCAGCGAATGGCCTGGGGAAGTAGAAACCGTAATCTTAGTGGAGGGGTGCTAATGGGCTTTATGCTCAATAGAATTAACCAGGAAGCACACCCTGGAGACATGGTTGAAAAATTAGGAGCTGATGCCAAAATTCTTTCAAATGTTATCTCAAAAAGCACAAGGCCAAATAGTCTTGATATTGGAAAGCCACCTTTAAGATCAAAGAGGGACAGTCTAGAAAAGGAATCTAGTGATGACGACACACCTTTCGATGGTTCTAACTGTTTGGCAGATAAAGTAGACTCTCCCGTTATTTTTGACTTGGAAGATTTAGATGTGGAAACAGACGGATCAAAAGTTGGATGTATTGCTACACAAAATTCCAAGAGGATTCAACGTATGAACAGTAGCTTTTCAGCAAAACCTTTTGAAAAAACTGATGTGGTCACAGGCTTTGACCCCCTCTCTCTTATGGTTGCCGAGACTGAGCAGCAGCAAAAAGAAGAGGAGGAGGATGAAGATGATAGTAAAGGCCTTTTAACACCATCCACGAGGCGTGATTTAGCTGAAGAAATTGTGATGTATATGAATAACATGAGCAGTCCTTTGACCAGTCGTACACCAAGCATTGACTTACAGCGGGCCTGCGATGATAAATTAGCCAACAAGAAAAGCCCAGCATTCGTCAAGGCAGGCAGAAGATCCAGCCTGCCTCCCAACTCTCCTAGGCCAATGAGACTTACCAAATCTAAAAGTTACACAAGAAGTGAGGAAAGACCAAGGGACAGACTCTGGTCTTCTCCAGCCTTTTCACCTAGTTGCCCTTTTAGAGAAGAATCTCAAGACACATTAACCCATTCATCGCCTGCATTTAACTTAGATACACTACTGGTTCCTAAGCTCGATATTCTAAGGAACAGTATGTTCACTGCTGGAAAAGGAGTTGCAGAGAAGGCAAGCAAGTGGTATTCAAGATTCACCATGTATACCACGTCATCTAAGGTAAGTTTTGTTAGTATTTGGTACTGCTATTTTCACACACATACCCCAACACACCAAAAGGCCAGGACCTACAAGGATGTCTATGTAACTATTTTCCTTAAACCCCAGCTTTTTTAAAAAAAAAGTACTTAATTTTATTTATTATTTTTTATTTGCTATATACAACACTTGTGTTTTCCAGAAAGAGAGAAAGAGAGAGAGAGAGAAAGTGAGAAAGCAAGCCACCAGGTTGAGGATTCGTGCTGTGGTCAGCCATATGGAAGTCCAGTGCCTCACCCACCATGCCACCAGCTGGCCTCACACTCAGCTAGAGAGAAGAGACTTGCAGAGTGGAGATCCGTAGCCCTCTTTCCTGAGGGCTTTCGCTGTTGATGAGCACAGGGCATGAGGCTGCAAAGCCAGGCTCTGCCTCATCAGAGGACCGAGGAAAAGTGAAGTGAGGACAGGTGTAGCAGAACTCTGGGACCTTGTGGGCTGGAGAGACAAAATTGGAGACTTGAGGTGCCTCGGATACCTAGAAAGTATTTTGCTTTGAGACATTTTCCAAATACTCATACTGCATGAGACAGGTTAGAAGAATGAACAACAGAGTTCTCAGCAGAACAGAATAGCTGGAGTTGGTGAGCTGTCAGGGAAGGCACACATGGGGCCTGGACACACAGGCCTTCTTTGGATGCCGCACAGTTGTGCTTAGAGCACTGGCAAAGCAGAGGGAGATGGAGCCTGACCAAAGCCGCAACCTAGACCTGCCTTAGGTAGTCTGTGACTAGGTTAAAATGCCCAGCTCGCACTCTGTCTGGCAGAGGGAAGACTGTACCCTTTCTAGAGGAATGAGGCACCATCCAAAGTCTTTATGAATTTTTTTTCCCTCTGGAAAAGGAGAATGTGGTATTGCCCTCTAGAATGTCAAAACAAATGCTAAAACTAATATTGAAAGTATGCTGGTTAACGCAAACAAAGATAAATGGACCAGCAGAAGGGAGGAAGCTCATAAAGAAAACTATGTAAAGAAGTTTGGGGAATAAGAGAATATTAAATGTGTTGGGATAATTAGTTAACTCATTTAGGGAAAAGTCAGATTCGTGCCCCACGTTGAACAAAAGCATAAGTAAACCTTAAATGGATTAGATGTCCAAGCGCATACTTAGGTATTATAAGTAAAAGATATTATTTGGGTCACTTTAGAATGGGGAAAGATTTCCTTAGCAAGCAGCGAAGCCTAAACCCGATAAAGGATGAAAAGATTTGACTACATAGCATCTTAAAGCCCTGTAAAATTAAAAATAATAATAATACACACATACACATACACACACACATACACAACTAGAGAAGAATGTTCTATTGTCTATTCATTGGAAATACAGATATTTTAAATATGTTTTTTATACAAAAATCTGTATCCATCAGATTTTCTCATTTGTTATTAGTATAGCCAGAAAAAATATTAATTCTTCACTGTTCCCCAAACATGGAAACTGAGAATGCAAGAGCTCTTTAGACAGTTTGTGGAAAATGTATATCATGAAAAAACTGGATGAGTTTCAAAATTTTTTGCACCAAGTGGCCAGCACATGGCCTGAAGATTAATGCACTGGATCCCACATGGCCATCTGTGCAGTTTGAGTCTGGTACTGACTTTGTTCTTTTTTTTTTTTTTTGGAGAGGTTTTTGCTATATGGCGTGTGCACTCACCAGACAGGCAGAGACAGACAGAAAGTGAGAAATCACCCCCCAGGGGGCATGGCCACACCACAATCCCTTCTCCTCCATTCTCCTCTTGGGATCTTGGGCACGCACGCACACGTGCCCAGCGTGAGTTTAAGCCACCGGGTCTGGGACTCGAACCGCAGTCGACTACATGGGAGTCCAGCAACATAGCCATTACGCTAACTACTGGCCCCAACTTTGAAACCTGGATTGTGAACAAGAATAAAATATAATTCTGGTAGTATCATCTTGGACTGAGATTTGCAGGAAGGGAAAGTCAGCAAGATTACCTTACTGATAGGCATATACTTTGTCGAACTAAAAAATTGTGTCTTAAAAGCTGATCTTGGGACCAGCAAAATAGCATGGAAATTAAGGCAGCTGATTCCCACATGGTTCTCGTGGTTCAAGCCCTAGACCCAGCAACTTAAAACAAAAAACAAAAACAAAAACAAAAAAAATGCCAGGTGTGTGTGCCTGCATGCCCAAAATCTCAAGAGGAGAATTGAAAAGGAATTGCAGCATGGCCACCCCCCCAGGGGGATTGCTTTCTCACTTTCCCTTTGTCTCTGTCTCCAGCAAGTGCACATGCCCTATGGCAATGAATAAATAAATACATATAAAAACTGACGTCTAGCATGTGTTTATGAAAATTAGTTTGCCTCTGTAAAATTGTTATTTTCTCTAGAGGTTGTGATACTGATTAACTAATCAGTCAGCTGGTAGCTAGAAGACAGGCGTTTCTCTGCCTTAGAAGTAATAAATAATTAACTGTAAATGTGAAGGATATTAAGCTTATAATTATGTCCTTAGGATCAAAGTTCTGATCGTACCAGTCTTTCTTCAGTGGGAGCCCAGGATTCTGAATCTACCTCTTTAACAGATGAAGATGTCTGCCACGAGTTGGAAGGAGCCACTTCTTCCCAGGAGAGCAGTGCTACATCCGGGCCCAAGGGCATCGACCTCAGCCGGACCAGCCTGGAGAGCTCTGCCTCCTTGGAAGGTTCGTCCAAGCCGTTCTGTCACACCACACTGCTGGTGCCGCTCATTTCCTTTGCGGTACCTTTCCCTCTTTTTCTTTATGATTTAATTTTGCTTTTTTATGTTATCAAATATTTGCATGGCTAAATAGAAATAATAAAGCCAGGGCACTTTGGGAGAAGTCGAGCTTTCATCTCTACCCCGTCATCCTGTTTTCTCCATGTCCCTAGAAGTAACCATTTTTATTTGGTTTTAGTTTATTTTTCTATTGTTGCTTTTTCTTTTTTCTTTTTTTCTTAGTGATTTTTACTTTAGTACATGTGCACACTGGCTTCAGGACTCGAACTGCAGTCAGCCATGTGGAAGTCCAGCAACATAACTGCTATGCCATCTGCTGGGCACCATTGGTCCTTTTTTTTTTTTTTTTTTTTTTTTTTTTGAGAGAGAGATTGTTGCTATAGGTCTTGTACACTTATCAGAGACACAGACAGAAAGTAGAAATCACCCCCTAGGGGATGGCTATGCTGCAATTCGTTCAACTCCATTCTTCCCTCAGAATTTTGGGCACACATGCATACACATGCGCCCAGTGTGAGTTTTAAGTCACCGGATCCAAGACTCGAACCACAGTGGGCTATGTGGGAGTCTAGCAATATAACCATTACAACATCTGCTGGTCCCCCATTGTTGCTTTTATAAAAATATAGGTATAGGTATTTATACAGGGAACTTCAAAAAGTTCATGAAAATAGAATTAAAGTATTCAAACTTCTGAAATTCTTGCATAATTTTTTATAATATGTGTTTTCATGAACTTTTTGAAGATTCCTTGTGTTTGCATGTATATATATTTTTTAATTTATTTATTTTGTCAGAGGGCATGTGTGCTTTCCAGAAAGAAAAAGCATCTCCCATTGGGATGTGGTCACATTGCAATTTTTTACCTTCTATGTCCCAGCAGGATTTGGGGACACAGTGAATATGTGTTCCAAGCCATTGGGCTAGGATTTGATCTGGGCTTGGCCAAGTGGGATCCAGGTCCCTGTTCACAGTGCTCAACTACTGTGCTGGGACCAGCAGTTAGTGTAATGGCTATGTCGCTGGACTCCCATGTAGTCGACCGTGGTTCAAGTCCCGGACCCGGTGGCTTAAACTCACGCTGGGTGCATGTATGTGCGTGCCCAAGATCCTGAGAGGAGAATGGAGGAGAAGGGATTGCAGCGTGGCCATCCCCCCTGGGGGGTGATTTCTCGCTTTCTATCTCCCTGTCTCTCCTCTGTCTGTCTGGTGAGCGCACGCGCTCTATAGCAAAAAAAAAAAAAAAAAAGAAAGAAAAAGAAAAGAAAAATCAACCACTGTGCTATGAGCTGGCTCCCCTTGTATGTATTCCTATTACTTCCTGTTTTCTTACTCAAAAGGTAACATATCCTAAGTATTTTCCCACTATTCTTTATCTGTTTTTTAAATCATAGTGCACACGTGCAAGAGAGAAAGTCACATAGAGGAGGAGAGCAGCGCCCTGACAGGGTCTCCGCAGATGCGATCCCCTTCCCTAGCCCTCTAGTCCTCAGGCCCATCCAGGGATCCAAACCCATAGTCAGCATATGGCCTTATGCCTTGCAGAGCACTGGCGTTAACTGCTGTGCCCCTGGGGCTATTATTTTTACTTAAATTTATATCCTGAAGGTCATTCCGTACCATCACATAAACATGTCCCCCACTTAATTTGATGGTCACCAAGTTCATCCTGTGTTGACGTATAGTCTGTTTTAATCACTTCTCTCTCTATCAATGGGCTGGGAAGTTTCTAGTCTTTGAAGAGCTGCTAAGCATATATGTCCTGTTATATTTTTGCTAGTATATCTTTTTTTTTTTTTTTAAGGATTTTTCCATTGGGCATGTATGTTTGCTGGAAAGGAGAGAGTGAGACAGTGAGAGGGAAAGTGAGCAGCAACCCCCCCCCTCCTGGGAGGAAGGCCACACTAAGTTCCTTCTCCATTCTCCTATCAGGATTTTGGGCATGCATGCACACACACACACACACACACACACACACACACACACGTGATTTTCCTTTTCTTTTCTTTTCTTTTCTTTTCCTTTCTTTTCTTTTCTTTCTTTTCTTTTTTTTCTTTTCTTTTCTTTTTTCTTTTTTAGAGAGATTTTTACTGTAAGGCATGTGTGCTTGCTGGAGAGACTGACAGAAAGCAAGAAATCACCCATCCCCAGGGGGGATGGCATTGCCATAATCCCTTCTCCTCCATTCTCCTCTCAAGATTGTAAGCATGTTCGCACATGCACCCAGCTTGAGTTTTAAGCCACCGGGTCTAGGACTTGAACCGCAGTTGACTACTTGGGAGTCCAGCAACATAACCATTACGCCATCTGCTGGTCCCAACTTGGTGTGATTTTTAAGCCACCAGGTCCAGGACTCAAATTGCTACCAGCCATGTGAGAATTCAGCACTAATTGCCACATCACCGGCTGGACCCTGCCAGTATATCTTTCAAAGATACTTCAAAGTTCTTACCTTCAGTGATACAGCCAAGCTTCCTTCCACAGGGCTATATTTCTCTCATAAAAGTGAAGTTGAAACTGTTAATATGTTTAAGGACCATTTGCATTCCATTTCTGTGGACTGCCTTTTTCCTACATTTTAATTATTAGTGAGGTTTTTGGGTTTTGTTCTTGTTTTGTAAGTTTTAGCTTTTTTTTACATTAGGAAATGAATCTTTTGTCTCAGGTAGGATGTAAGTACCTTATCTAAGTTCATCAAGTTTGAGGACTTTTTGTTTTTTACCATGTGTAAATTTTTAATTTTCTGCCATCAGAGTAATCAGTCTTTTCCTGTATTGCTTCTGGATTTGAGCTATTAGAAAAGATTTTCCTGTCCATCAAGCAGTGGACTCTAACCTTTTTGGCACCAGAAACTGATTCTGTAGAAGATAATTTTTCCATGGACTGGTGGAGGGGAGGGGCTTTGGGATGATTTAAGCATAATACATTTATTGTACATTTTATTCCTATTATTATTACATTTTTATATATAATGAAATAACTACACAACTCATCAGAATCAATGGGAGTCTTGGGACCAGCAGTTAGCGTAATGGCTGTGTCACTGGACTCCCATGTAGTCGACTATGGTTCGCGTCCTGGACCTGGTGGCTTAAAACTCAGGCTGGGCGCATGTACATGTGTGCCCAAGATCCTGAGAGGAGAATGGAGGAGAAGGGATTGTGATTTCTCGCTTTCTGTCTCTCTGTCTCTCTCTGTCTTTCTGGCGAGCGCATGCACCCTATAGCAAAAACCTCTCCAAAAAAAAAAGAAGAATCTATGGGAATCTTGAGCATGTTTTTCTGCAACTAGACAATCCCATCTGGAGGCTCCTATGAGACTCTAAGGCCTCCAATGATTTGACGGGAGGCGGGACTCAGGCAGTAGGAGGAGTAATGAGGAGTGGCTGTAAGTACGGATGAAGCTACACATGCTCACCTCCTGCCATCTAGCCCAGGGACTAGGGACCCCTGTTATAAAGGAACTCATCAGTGTTACTTGGATTCTTTTAAAATATTTTCTGGGGTTGCCAGACTTTCTATGAGGAGTTACATAGTAAAGTTTTTAGTTCTGGGGGGATCATGTACATCTCTGTCACATACGCTTTTATTGTCTTTTTTCTGTTTTTAGAAAAAATTGCAACTTAGCCATTTCCCTTGGGTGCGATTTCTCACTTTCCCTCTGTCTGTTTCTCTCCAGCGAGCACACTTGCCTATGGCAGAAAATCTTTTTTAACAAAAGCTTAAATATGTGTTTCTAAAATAAAATATTTTGGAGACCAGTGGATGGCGTAATGGTTACGTTGCTAGACTACCTTGTAGTCAACTGTGGTTCGAGTCCCGGACCCGGCGGCTTAAAACTCACACTGGGCACATGTGCATGCATGTCCAAAGTCCTGAGAGGAAAATGGAGATGGGATCACGGCATGCCCATCCCTCTGGGGGTGATTTCTCACTTTCTGTCTCTTTGTCTCTCCAGTGAGCACGTGTGCCCTATAGCAAAAATCATAAATAAATAAATAAATGTAAAGGACTTTTATGTTATATATTTTAAACTATAGTATTTATTAAAATGTAAAAACTTTTAGAAACTGTTCCTAGCCCACATGTACAAAATGAGATTTGACTCCTGATTAAGATACTTGGTCAAGGGACCAGCACGCACGTAGTTGACCACGGTTTGAGTCCCAGACCCCGTGGCTTAAAATTCATGCCAGGTACGTGTGTGTGCATGCCCAAAATCCGAAGAGGAGAATGAAGAAGGATTGCTGTGTGGTGATGCCCCCTGGCGGGGGCGTGATTTCTCACTTTCTGTCTGTTTCTCTGTCTCCTCACTGAGCACATTCATCCTATGGCAAAAAAAAAAAAAAATTTTTCATCAGGGGTCTTCCCAGTGGCATAGTGGTTAAAGAAGCTCGATCCTAGGGCCAGCAGATGGCGTAATGGTTATATCACTGGACTCCCACCTAGTAAACCACAGTTTGAGCCCCGGACCCAGCAACTTAAAAAAGCTCATGCTAGGTGCATGTATGTGTGTCCCCAAAATCCCAAGAGGAGAATGGAGGAGAACGTATTGTGGCATGGCCATCCCCCAGGGGCATATCTCACTTTCTGTCTCTTTGTCACCCCAGTGAGCACATGTACCCTTATAGCAAAAATCTCTTAAAAATATTTAATAAGTGACTGGCTCCTACATGGCTGACTCTGCAGTTTGATTCCTGAACCCAGTAACTTGAAAAGTACGCTTGGTGGGGCCAGCAGATGGCATAATGGTTAAGGTGTTGGACTCCTGTATGGTTAACTGCAGTTTAAGTCCTGGACCTGGTGGCTTAGAAATCATGCCAGAGAGGTGTGTGTGCATACTGAACATCCCAGGAGAAGGGATTGCAGCATGGCCATTCCCCCAGGCAGTGACTGCCTGCTTTTCCTCTCACCACCCAGCTGGCTGGCTCTCTCTCGAGTGGGC